ACTTCCCATTTTGACCCCTCCTCCTCCTCATTGCCTCTGTGCCTGATGGGCCTCTATGTGGCTCTCAGCTCAACTCTCCCAGATCCGTGCACATGTTTGTGTGTGTGCATTTGCACGTTCAGGGATAGGCAACATGGCATCAGCATACGCAACCCCAGCCCCGAAACCAAAAGCAGAGCCACCAACCAGGGCATGACTGGAACGAGGCCCCAGGTGTACTACCGACATGTCCCGAAAGGCCCTCCAGGCTGCAGAGATCCCTCCCCATCCAGATGAAGGGGGGAAACTCCAGGCAATGACGGCCAGTCACTGGACTCCTACAACAGCGAGGATGAGGGCGAAAATGACCCAATGGTGAGTGAACCGGTCCACCCTTTTGTTTTCCCAATACGCCTCACAGCCCCAAAAACAGGAACCCAGGGAACTTTTCAAGCCCTAATAGACTCAGGCTGCACTAGATGCTTGATCAACCTAACCACGGTTCTGAAACTGGGGATCAGAGCGAAAAGACTGGCCCACCCAATCAGGTTCAAACAGGTCGATGGGTCCCTATTGGGGGGAGACTATGTCACCCACCTGACCGAACCAGTAAAGCTAGAGCTAGCGAATTACTGGGAAGTAATTTGATTCATGATAGCCCCCAAAATGACGGACACAGTCATACTGGGACTCTCCTGGCTAGACAAGTGGGGCCCGACCATCTGGTGGCAAGGGGGCAGCTGATGGCTGAGTATAGCAAGGGGGCCCCAACCCCCTCCACACCAGCAAATAGGAGCACTGCCCACGCAGGAAACCCACCCAAAGGGTCCACCAGAACTGGCAGCCACCTCCGACAAAACCCCAGAGGCCGAACAGATCCTGAGAGAATATCAGGACCTCGTGGAAGTATTCAGCGATGCCAAGAGCGACGTCCTACCTCCCCACCGTGAGACAGACTGTGCCATCGAAATCATCCCCGGGGTAAAACTGCCTAAACCCAAACTGTATGCCATGTAGGGAAGGTAAGTAGATTTCACCCCTGATGTGGACAGTTATGTGAAAAGTTGCACCATCTGTGCCACAATGAAGAAACGACCAGGAAAACCCCCCCAAACTGCTGCAACCGGTAGCAGAAGAGGCGTTGGACTTACCGTGAATGCTCTTTCTCCAGAGGATGCAGAGTGGGTCAGAAGTGGGATGATCCAGCTCGTCTGGCCAATCACTGAGTCGGATAATCTTGGCCACGCCTCCTTAGGCCTCCATTACTTCCAGTTTGTTCGACGAAGGCAGATCTGCAAAACAGTCTCTAGCCAAAAGAAAGAACAATCATAATCGCAGATGGGAGGGGCTGACCCACTCCGCATCCTCTGGAGAAAGAGCGTTCACAGTAAGTCCAACGCCTCTTCTCCCACTAGGCTGCGGAGTGGGTCAGAAGTGGGACATACCCAAGCTTGTCAGTCCTACGGGTGGGAAGTCTGCGATGGAGGAAGCCGAGGTGCCAGGTGTACCTGTTGGAGAACCCTCTTGCCGAAAGCCGCCTCTGCTGAGGCGAAGACGTCCAAGCGGTAATGTTTGATAAATGGGACAGGAGTAGTCCAGGTAGCAGCCCGGCAAATTTCCTCGAGGGAGGCCTGCGTGCCCCAAGCAGCGGTGGTAGCTGCACTCCGCGTGGAGTGAGAGGTAATGTGACAATGAATGGGGAGAGATCGTGATTCATAAACTTTGGCAATACAAGCACGGATCCAACAACCTATGGTGACTGAGGAAACCTTGGATCCCAGCGATGCAGGTTGAAATGAAACAAAGAGAGCCTCGGAGCGTCTTGAGGAGGCAGTCCGAGAAATATATATCTTTAAAGCCCTGCGAACATCTAGGGTGCGCCATTTGTGCTCTAGGGGATGGACGGGATTTGACAAAAATTAGGAAAGATGACCTCCTGCTCACGATGAAATCGTGAGTTAATTTTTGGCACAAAGGCAGGGTCCAATCGGAGTATTACCCTATCCGGGTGTATCACGCATAAATCTGGTCTGACTGATAGGGCTGCTAGTTCTGAAATGCGGCGAGCTGAAGTTACGGCCACCAGAAAGGCCACTTTAATGGTAAGGAACCTAAGGGTGGAAGTACGGAGAGGTTCAAATGGTGGCCCAGTCAAAGCCTTCAATACGTGCAGCAAGTCCCACGTGGGGTATCGGTGGACTACAGGTGGTCGAAGGTTTCGGACCCCACGCAGAAACCTCCGGATGGAAAGGTGATGAGACAGAGGCATGCCATCCCTGGGCAACAACACCGTGGCGAGGGCTGCAACATGGCGCTTGAGAGTATTGTGTGCCAGTCCCTTGCGATAGCCATCATGGAGAAACTCCAGCACCTGTGGGACAGAAGCTGACAATGGATTAATTTTGTGCGCAGAGCACCACGAGATAAATACCTTCCATGTGATGTTGTAGAGTCTGATGGTGGACTCCTTTTTGTCAGCCTGCATCACCCGGATGACGTCCTCAGAGTACTGCGCCTCCCTCAGGAGGAGCTCCTCAAGAGCCAAGCGGTTAGATTCAGCCACTGGGGCTCTGGATGGGCGATTGCACCCTGGCTGAGGGACACCTTCTCCAGAGGGAATCACCAGGGACGCGTCGTCGAGAGGGCCACGAGGTCGGAGAACCACGGTCTTCTTGGCCAATAAGGGGCGACGAAGACGACGTCCGCCTCCTCGGCAATGATCTTGCGACGTACCAGTGGGATTAGTGGAAGTGGCGGGAATGCATAAAGAAGTTCTCGCGGCCAGGGGCAGTGGAGCGCATTCGTGTTCTCCGTCCCCGGCGATGGGTAATGCGTGAAGAACCGTTGTAACTGCGTGTTCTCCGGGGATGCAAACAGATCCACCTGTGGTCGACCGAATCGAAGGCAAAGGTCTTGGAATAGCTCGGGGTTGAGACGCCACTCCGATGCATCTATTGTGGTGCGGCTTAGATAGTCCGCCCGGAGGTTGTCTTTCCCTGCGATGTGATCCACCCAGAGAGAAAGTAGGTGGGATTTGCCCATCTCCCCAAAAGAAGAGCCTCCTGCATCAAGGTCCTGGACCTTGTTCCCCCTTGGCGATTTATGTGGGCTTTTGCTGACACGTTGTCTGTAAGAACTAATAGATGATGTCCCTGGACAGTTTGATGAAAGGTCTGAAGGGCCAGGCGAATGGCTCTGAGTTCCAGCAGATTGATACTGGACCGCTGTTCCGTCAGAGACCAATGCCCTTGAGCCACCTGGGGACCCAGGTGCGCGCCCCATCCAGTTAGGCTGGCGTCGGTAGTCATAATCAGAGGTTGTACGTCCAAGAAGACGCACCCTTTGTCCAGGGCCAGGGATAGCCACCAGTGCAAGGATCGGCGCACCGAGAGGGGTACCCTGATCCTGGACTGGGAGGCTGCTGTCATTTTTCGTTGATGTGGGAGTAACAGCCATTGAAGGCTGCGGGCGTGTAGCTGAGCCCAGGGTACAATACCTGCGCAGGACACTAGTTTCCCCAGAAGGCGCGATAGGTCTAGCTTGGAAACAGTTGGGTCTCGTAAGAGATTGCGAATCAGGGACCTGAGACTGTCTTTCCTTTCAGTTGAAAGGAATACCTGTCCTACCTGAGTGTCTATGATCGCCCCTAGATGAGTCAGGCGAGTTTGAGGGTCCAACTGACTCTTGGGTCTGTTGACTAGGAACCCGTGATCCTGCAATATCTGCAACATGAGAAGCACGTCGGCTCTGGCTTTCTGGAGGGACGAAGCTTGTATTAAAATATCGTCCAGATAAGCCTGAATCCGGACAGGGACAGATCTTAGGTGGGCTATAAGGGCTGCCAGGATCTTGGTGAAGCTGCGCGGTGCAGATGCCAGCCCAAACGGAAGGGCACGGTATTGTAGATGGCGCCCCGCGTAGCTGAACCAAAGGTACCACCGGTGAACCGGCGCTATGGGAATATGAAGGTACGCTTCGGAGAGATCGATTGAGGCTAGGAAGTCCCCGGGCCTTATCCCCTCTAGTATAGATTTCAGTGTACTCATTTTGAATTTGCGGTACACTAAGTGAGTGTTCAGGGATTTTAGGTTTAGAATCGTCCTCCAGCTCCCAGAGCGCTTCGGTACCACGAAAAGAATCGAGTAAAATCCCTGTCTCCATTGATTGCGTGGAACTTCTTCCACCCCGTTGATCTCCAGGAGGTGTTGAATGGCAAGCTACATGAGACAACACTTGCTGGGGGAATTGGAGACAGGGCAAGGTACGAAGTGGCTTGGGGGGCTGGAGCGGAACTCCAACGGGAGGACGAATTCTATTGTATGAAGAACCCATTGGTCGGTTGTACTGCGAGCCCATTCGGAGAGAAACAGGCTCAGCCTTCCCCCAATGGGCGCTGTCAAGGGCGAGTCATTTTTAGCGGCGGAACTGGCATCCGCCAGCCCCACGAAAGGGCCGTTTCGGTGGAGCGAAAGATTTGGGTCTATCCCAAAAGGAACCCCTGTCCTGGGAACGAAAGGATCCCTGAGAGTAAGCCCTCTGACTGGTACCCTCCTGTGGAACATTGCGAGCCGTTTGCCTACGGTAGTAGGGAGTAGCTCGACTATCAGCCCTTCTAGTGATAGAAGGTAAGACCTTCCTTTTATCTCTATCCTCCACTAATAATGGTTCAAGGGGATCGCCAAATAATTTAGACCCCGAATACGGAGTGGATGCCAGGCGCCATTTGGCCTTAAGGTCAGCGGCCCAAGGTCTCAGCCATAATAGACGTCGGGAGGTAATAGAGGAAGCCATAGCCCGTGAAGCATATTTGGCCGCATTTAGGGTGGCATCTGAAGCAAATTGAGTTGCAGCAATTATCTTATTTAAGTCCTGGTGGACTCTGATATCGTGCACTGGCAAGCGGGATTGTAATTGTTGGAGCCATAGCAATGATGACCAGGAAAAGAACGAGGCCGCCGTGGCTGCCTGGATCGCCCATGCTGAGGCTTGGTGAGTTTTCTTGAAAGATGACTCAAACTTACGGTCCTCCGGCTTGAGTCCCTCCGAAGCGTCCCGAGAGAAAATGAGATGAGGAAGACAGTGCCGCTACCGGACCGTCGACAAAAGGCACTTGTAGAAGGTTGGTCAAGGAAGGATCCATGTTGTAGTTTCGGCGGTCGTATCCACTGGGAGTAGGGAGAGAAGTTGGATTAGTCCATTGTTTACGAACCACATCAGTAAAGAGTTTTGGCGCGGGAACAAAGACTTGTTCCGCGACCGGTTCAGAAAAAATGCCCTGAGGAGTGGATGCGGAAGGGGCTGCAACCTCTGAAATGGGATCTAGAAGACCTGAAGTTATCTTGGCCTTGTGAAGAAGTGATTTAAACAGTCCCTGAGGAAATAACCCCGTAAATGCCGGCACATCTGGAGCAGGTGATTCATCATCAGAGAGATCCACTTCTCTCTGATTTTCATCCCCCAGTTCAACATCTACACTGCCCCTAGACCTGGCTGGGGAATGGTCAGGAGACCCAGTGAGACTGGCATCAGGGGAACCCCGAGATATCCTCGAGCGGAGGCTTTCTGAGACCAGGGAAGCAGAACAGTGCTCCCTGATACCGGCCTGAATGCCATGAGATATGGCCCTGGCAATTAACAGCTGAACAGATTCTGGAAGGTTCTCTAGGTCTGACTTAGGTGGCTTAGTTGCTGGAGGATCCTGAGTAGAGATGGTGCAATCAAAGGGATCCCCCTGTTGTCTATCTGAAGGACCAGGGGAATCTGAGGATATATTGTCCTGTCCCTCTGGTGATAGGGCTCTAGTTAAATCAACCTCATCCGAAGCACCCTGATCTACTCCCTTGTCCAGAGTTGGCTTAGCACTAAGTGCTTGGACAGGCCTATCAGAGCCATGCTGGTGAGATTTTTTGGAATGGCCTGATTTTGAAGAAGCCTTCCGGCCCGAATCGGACTTGCCAGAAGATTCAGCCATGGTAGAAGATCTGTGCGGAAATGGAACAAGATTATTATTAATTAGTGTATATTATTATTATTATTATTATTATTATTATTATTATTATTATTATTATTATTATTATTATTAAAGGTGCATGACAATAGCCTCAATATCCTTGCAACGCTGATAGCATTAGGCAACAGGCAGGGAGCCCAACAGAGAGCCTTAAATTAGTTGCTGGGCAGAAAAACCAGTCCAGCAAAATGGCCACCATAACTCACACGATATGACAGAAGGCATTCTGCCCTGTCATGAGGATAAAATGGCTGCCCTGCGTAGGAGAACCAGGGCTTGTCATTAATGGCCGCCAATCAATTGCAAGCTAGTCTGCACTAATTATGCTTGCGACAGAAACAAACAGCACATTGGCAAATAAGGCCCCGAATTCACAATAAAGGTCAGCGAATCGCTCACCGTTTGTGCCGGTACTTAAAACTTGGGCTCAAAGGATCGTTGCTCCAGCGACGAGGACAGAAAGGGCAGCGTCCAAATCGGAGGCGTTAGAAATGGCGGTGGCAGAAATGGCGACGGCAGAAACTGATTGCGGTGGAAAAATGGCGGGGAAGCTGAAACAACCTCCCACACCAAGCAAAGAGTCATTCCGCTGTAATCGTCGCCTTCCCTGAGCGCTGGGAAGGGCGACGGTGTCAAAGACAGCCGGAAAGGAGCGCGCTGTGTTCCGCGGCGCACCTTCACTTTCTCTGCGTCTCTCAGCTGATGAGTGCTGAGGCGGCGGCTCCCAGCAGAGCGCGGCGGCATTTCCAGCCGAAACTGGAATGGCCCGCACACACAGCGCTAAAGAAAAAAACGTAGGGGGCTGAAAAGTAGAAGCAATTCACGTCCCTCAGGTGTTTTGGAGGCAACGGAGGCAGCCGAAGTGTTGAGGCAGCGTTTCCAGCCGAAACTGCAAACTTTGCCAGCAAGCCCCAAACAGTGGAATCACGAACTCAAATCGTCAGAAGTGAGAGACTCAGCGAAGCGTCTGGTCAGAACCACTGAGTCGAATAAACTGGAAGTAATGGAGGCCTAAGGAGGCGTGGCCAAGATTATCCGACTCAGTGATTGGCCAGACAAGCTGGATCATCCCACTTCTGACCCACTCCGCAGCCTAGTGGGAGAACCAACAAGGCCATGGGAGGAAATCGCAATGGACTTTATAGTGGAGTTGCCAAAAAGTGGAGGGAACACGGTGATCTGGACTGTCTACCACCTGCATGAAGTGCCATGGAGAATTATCTCAGACAGAGGGGTCCAGTTCATGGCTAAGTTCTGAAGGGAGGGTCATCCCAAGGCCTTAGCTTGGCTTTTCATCCAAGTACTTTTCATGGAGGGTGGGCAGAAAGACTGAATGCCATGGTAGAACAGTACCTGAGGTGTTACGTGAACTATCAGCAATCCAATTGGGCAGACCTCCTGCCTTTCGCTGAGGTTGCGTACAATAATGCTGTTCACAGTAGCACGGGACTAACTCCATTCAAAGTAGTGAGCGGCATGGACTTCGTCCCAATGCCTGAATATCCAAGGGATCCCCCCCCCACTCCTCAGTCAGCTTGACTGACTGGATGCCAACGTTGACAGCAACCTAGGAGAATGTCAAGAAAGAGCTAGCTAAAGCAGCACAAACCTATAAGAAACAGGCAGACAAACACCGAGCCCCACAACGGCCATTCCAGGTGGGTGAGAAGGTCTGTTGTTGTTGTTAGTTGCAAAGTCGTGTCTGACCCATCGCGACCCCATGGACAATGTTCCTTCAGGCCTTTCTGTCCTCTACCATCCTCTGGAGTCCATTTAAACTCACACCTATTGCTTCAGTGTCTCCATCCAGCCTCCTCATTCTCTGTCATCCCATTCTTCTTTTGCCCTCAATCTTTCCCAGCATTAGGCTCTTTTCCAGTGAGTCCTTCCTTCTCATTAGGTGGCCAAAGTATTTGAATTTCATCTTCAGGATCTGGCCTTCTAAAGAGCAGTCAGGGTTGATCTCCTCTAGGACTGATCGGTTTGATTGCCTTGCAGTCCAAGGGACTTGCAGGAGTCTTCTCCAGCACCATAGTTCAAAGGCCTTAATTCTTTGGCACTCAGCATTTTTTATGGTCCAAGTTTCACAGCCATACAATGCAACTGGGAAAACCATAGCCTTGACTATATGCACTTTCGTTGGCAGGGTGATGTCTCTGCTTTTTAGTATGCTGTCTAGATTTGCCATAGCTTTCCTCCCCAGGAGCAAGCCTCTTTTAATTTCTTGGCTGCAGTCTCCATCTGTGGTGATATTGGAGTCCAGGAAAATAAAATCTGTCAGTACCAACATTTCTTCCCCATCTATTTGCCAGGAACTGAGAGGGACGGATGCCATGACCTTAGTTTTCTTAATGTTGAGTTGCACTCTCCTTCTTCACCAGCATCAAGAGGCTCTTTAGTTCCTCTTCACTTTCTGCCATTAGAGTGGTATCATCTGCATATCTGAGGTTGTTGATATTTCTCCCGGCAATCTTAATTCCAACTTTTGATTCATCTAGTCCCGCCTTTCTCATGATGTGCTCTGCATATAAGTTAAATAGGCAGGGCAACAGTATACAGCCTTGCCGGACTCCTTTCCCAATTTTGAATCAAGTGGTTCCGTGTCCAGTTCTCCCTGTTGCTTCTTGACCCGCATATAGATTTCTCAAGAGACAAATAAGATGGTCTGGTATTCCCATCTCTTTAAGAACTTGCCACAATTTGTTGTGATCCACACAATCAAAGGTTTTAGCATAGTCAATAAAGCAGTAGATGTTTTTCTGGAACTCCCTAGCTTTCTCCATGATCCCGTGTATGTGGGCAATTTGATCTCTAGTTCTTCTACCTCTTCGAAATCCTACCTGTACTTCTGGTAGATCTCGATCCACATATTGCTGGAGCCTAGCTTGTAGGATTTTAAGCATAACCTTACTAGCATGTGAAATGAGTGCAGTGGTGCGATAGTTTGAACAGTCTTTGGCATTGCCTTTCTTTGGAATTGGAATGTAAACTAACCTTTTCCAATCCTGTGGCCCCTATTGAGTTTTCCAAATCTGCTGGCAATTTGAGTATAGCACTTTTACTGCATCGTCTTTTAAGATTTTGAATAGCTCAGCTGGAATACTGTCACCTCCACTAGCTTTGTTGTTGCTCAGATTTCCTAAGGCCCATTTGAGTTCACACTCTAGGATGTCTTGCTCGAGGTCAGTGACCACCCCATCGTGGTTATCAGGGATGTTACGCTCGTTCTTGTATAATTCTTCTGTGTAATTTTGCCATCTCTTCTTAATCTCTTCTGCCTCTGTTAGGTCCCTGCAGTTTTGGTCCTTTATCATGCCCATCTTTGCATGAAATGTTCCCTTCATATCTCCAATTTTCTTGAAGAGATCTCTGGTCTTTCCTATTCTATTGTTTTCTTCTATTTCTTTGCACTGTTCATTTAAGAAGGCATTCTTATCTCTTCTAGCTATTCCCTGGAATTCTGCATTCAATTGGGTGTATCTTTCTCTTTCTTCCTTGCCTTTCGCTTCCCTTCTTTCCTCAGCTATTTGCAAAGCTTCCTCAAACAGCCATTTTGCTTTCTTGCATTTCCTTTTCTTTGGGATGGTTTTAGTTGCTACCTCTTGTACAATGTTGTGAACCTCCGTCCACAGTTCTTCAGGCACTCTGTCTATCAGATCTAATTCCTTAAATCTATTTGTCACCTCTACTGTATATTCATCAGGGATATGATTTAGTTCATACCTGAGTGGCCTAGTGCTTTTCCCTACTTTCTTAAATTTTGCAATGAGAAGCTCATGATCTGAGCCACAGTCAGCTCCTGGTTTTGTTTTTACTGACTGTATAGAGCTTCTCCATCTTTGGCTGCAGAGCACATAGTCTGGTTTCTGTGTTGACTGTCTGGTGATGTCCATGTGTAGAGTCGTCTCTTGGGTTGTTGGAAAAGATTGTTTGCTATGACCATTGTATTATCTTGACAGAATTCTATCAGTCTGTGCCCTGCTTCATTTTGTACTTCAAGGCCAAACTTGCTTGTTATTCCAGTTATCTTTTGGCTTCCTACTTTAGCATTCCAATCCCCAATGATGATAAGGACATCATTTTTTGATATTAATTCTATAAGGTGCTGTAGGGCTTCATAAAACCGGTCAATTTCATCCTCTTCAGCACCAGTGGTTGGGGCATAGATTTGGATTACTGTGATATTGAATGGTTTGCCTTGGATTCGAACTGAGATCATTCTGTCATTTTAGGGATTGTATCCCAGTATTTCTTTTCCTACTCTTTTATTGATTATGAAGGCTACTCCATTTCTTCTGAGGAATTCTTGCCCGCAGTAGTATACCTGATGGTCATCTGAATTAAATTCATCCATTCCTGTCCATTTTAGTTTGCTGATTCCTAAGATGTTGATGTTCAGTTCTCTTGTTTGACCACGTCCAGCTTGCCTTGATTCATGGATCTTACATTCCACGTTCTTATGGAGAAAAAATCTTTACAGTATCGGATTTTCCTTTCACCACCAGATGCATCCACAGCTGAGCGTCCTTTCAGGTTTGGCCCAGTCGCTTCACTCTTTCTGGCGCTACTAGTACTAGCCCTCTGCTCTTCCCCAGTAGCAAAAAGAACCGGAGAACCGGTAGCAAAAATCCCTGCCCCCCCCCTCCCATGCCCAACTGAGCTGCGTGGGCATCAGAGGCTCTTCGGCCGAAGAGGTTGTAGAAAAAACGCTTTTAAAAGGTAAAAAAAAGCTTCTGACGATCAGGCAACTCGGCTTGGATCGTCAGAGCCTTTTAAAAGCATTTTTTTTACAACCTCTTTGAAGAGGTTGTAAAACAAATGCTTTTAAAAGGTAAAAAAAAGCCTCTGACGATCACAGCTGAGCATTGCGATCATCAGAGGCTTTCTTTTTTTACTTTTAAAAGCAATGCTTTTAAAAATTAAAAAAAAGATTGCACGACAGCTGATCACCTCCCTCGCTGGTGTGCACTGTGCACACGCACCTTGCATTTGGCACATGGTGCGCACTGCACATGCGCAGCCAACAAACTGGTAGTAAACCAATTCAGATTTCACCACTGCTTCCGACCTGAGGGGCTTATCTTCCGGTGTCGTATCTTTTTTCCTTTTGGTACTGTCCATGGGATTTTCATGGCAAAGATACTGGATTGGGTTGCCATTTCCTTCTCCAGTGGATCACGTTTGGTCAGAACTCTCTGCTATGACCTGTCCATCTTGGGTGGCCCTTGTTGAGGGTAAATTGCCACTTATCTCTCTCAAGGCTGTATCCCAGGGTTACCTACAGCAGCTGGAGGGGAGTGATCTCTACAACCTGCGAAATTGCTCCGTTGGCGAATGTGATTGATGACACACCCTGGGGGGGAGGGGGGAAACAGGGTCATAATTTTGTAGTGTAAATTATGTAGGGTCAGAGCTGGCTTCACTTGGGAATGTGTTGACATGAAGCTCCTAATAAACGACTGGATTTCTTTTGAAGCTTGGCTCGAGACTCATGATTTAATTAGAGCATCCGTCAGAACCCTGACACTCAGTTTACCCGTATTTTTCGGAATATAAGACGCTCTGGAGTATAAGACGCACCTTAGTTTTTGGGGAGGAAAATAAGAAAAAAAAATCTGCCTCTGCCTACCAGCATCTATCAGTATTCATCAGGCTAGCGTCCTGTCAGTGTGTGAGAGAATTGAGGGCTGTTTGGAAATTGAAACAGTATTTGCTGTGTGAGCCACAAGGAAAGAGATAGCAAGGAGCCTGGGTGTGGCTTAGCTCAACTGTTCTGTACTAAAGGTGCATGATTTGCTGAGCTCTTAAACTAAAACTGAAACTCCTCTCCTCTGCTTGTGTTTTGCCTGTATTTACTACCATGCTGGAAAATCTGTTTTTGGTATTGTATATTTACTTCATGTGTTATATTATATATAAAGAGAAGTTATTGAATCTTGCTGTATTAGTTACTTCTGTGTGCTTTCTGGATGTGATTACTGCTGCAAACTCTGACACGTCCTTGCAGCAAATAGTGAACAGCCAGGTCAGCTTCAGCACATTATTGCAGCCTGATTCAGTATGAGCAGCTGATTGGCGGGTGGATTGGCCTCCCAGAATACCCCCAATCAGCTGTTCCAGGCTGCAGGGATTGCCACAGACCATCGGCTCCTCCGTGTCTCGCGTTTTTGGCTACATTCGGTGTATAAGACACACCCAAATTTTCACCCTCTTTTCGGGGGGGGAAGTGTGTCTTACACTCTGAAAAATATGGTATCTCATATACAGTGTGTGTATATACACACACATAGCCACCCTTCTTCTAAGAAAATACAGGGATTTGTCCAGGCAGTCACCATGAACCAGGAATGACTCATAGATACATAATACACATACACCTCTGAGTCACTGTGGTTGTTAGGTGGATATGGCTGAATGTATACGGACCTGATTTTATGATTTTTTTGTGGCACCCTTGTTTAGTGAACATTGTTAAGTGAATACATGTTTTGCTATGGGCTGGTTTTGCCAAAAAAAAGGGAAGCAACTGCCAGTTTTCACCCAAAACCATCATAAAACATGGTCACATGACCATGGAACACTGCAAACAGCAGTAAATGCAGCTGCATTTCTGAATGCCATTGGAATTTCAAAACCAGGTCATAATTACCCCCAGGTAGGTCCTTTATAATGTTGAACAGTTGCTAACTGACTAGTTGAGACTACTAGTTCAATCATAACTCAATGAACTGGTATAAGCTACAATCACTGTAATGCTCGAGATGCTCGGATATAGGATTATGAAGAACATAATACACCCCCCCCCTTTTCTTGGTTTTCAGTCTACTGCCTTAACCACTATATGAAATTGGCCTTATAATATAGATTATAAAATAATGTATCTTATTTTAGTATTTTAATAACCCACCTTAAAGAGAGGATGGACTGCAGGCAATTGTCGGAACATAGCCACTGCAAAAACTTCTGAAATTAAGTGAGTCCGAAGCAGATGAGTCACAGTTTGATGTATATGGAAATCAGAAGAACGTACCCATATTTTGGCTAATAACCAATCATATTTAGCATCAGATGGAAGGAAAATAGGATTGCTTTGTTGAGGAGCTTGATTTATCTGAAAGATTTAATAAAATAGTTAATATCTTCAACAACAACCAAAATGTTATTTTAATTGGATAAAACCAAAATTACCTGAATTGCAATAGGGAGAATTTTATTCTCTAAATTCTTATACAATAAACAGATAGGAGCAGCCAAATACTGTGCTGTGCAGGGGTCTGTCTTATTGACTTCAACATCATCTAGAAGTTCATAGTCCACGATGAAAATATTTCCTAGCTGTCAAAAAAAAAGAAAGTTATGCACCTTGAGATTTAAAAATAATCCTGGAAGCATTACGTATTTTATCTTTGGAGTATTTATATCACAAACAGATAAATAAAAAAATTATAATAGGTTGAACAATTTAATTACTTCGGCCAGTCTGTTTTTTATTTATTTTTATTTATACGTTTTTCTTTAACATATATAAGTATTTAGTAAACAGTGTATTGTCTGGGTCTTTTTACACATACATAATAATAGTAGTAATAATATTATTTACTTGTATAGAATAGTATTCTTCCAACTTCTAATTTCTACCTTTATTATCTAACCATTGATAAAACAAATCCCAAGTTAAAAAATATTATGTGTCTTTGTTCTTTTATTTTTAATGTTAACCTATCCATTTCTGCACAATATTTTTTTGATTATATTTTCTTTTTCATTATTATTAGTAGTAGTAGTACTATTATTATTATACAATATGACAAACACAAAACATACACACACACACACATACACACTCTTTTTACAGCTATTTCGTGGTGGCCATCTTCTAATATTTACATTCTCCCCCATTTCCCTTTATACTATTCCATTTTCTTCTTGTCCCATTCTCTTTTAATTCCATTATACCTCTTGACAATCATATTAATTTTATACATTCTATACATTGTCATATTCATTCTTTCCATTTTCAAATTTACCCCTATTTTATTATCCATTATTTCTAGTCTCTAGCCATTTATACCATTTGTTTCATATTATATAACAACCTTAAAACATGGTTATTTCGCCTGGCTGGTTTGGACTGAAGGGGTTTTAAAGGGGATTTTAATGGTCTTTTATAATCCTATCGGGTATTTTAATATTGTTTTTGCTTGTTTTTATTGTTGTGAGCCGCCCTGAGTCCTTTTGAAGATAGGGCGGCATACAAGTTTAAATAATAAATAAATAAATAAATAAATAATAAATAAATTCCGTATCTTCCTTTTCTTTGAGCTCTTTTGTTAATTTATCCATCACGGCACACGATGGATTTTTTAATCCATCTTCTTCTGTTGGTATATTTTCCCTTTTCCAATTTTGTGCGTATGATATATGTGCAGCTGTAATAATATGTAAGATCAAATATTTTATTTCTTTGGTGTATTTTTCAGTAAATATTCCTAATAAGAACGTCTCTGGTTTTCCATCCATAGGCCGCTCTGTTATTTTTTCTAACCATTCTTTAATCTTAGGCCAGAATTTTTTTGCAGTCGGACACGTCCACCAAAGATGGTAATATGTTCCGTAGCTCTTATTACATTTCCAACATACTGTAGATTTAGTCAGAAACATCTTCGCAATTCTGGCCGGAGGTAGATACCATCTATAGAACATCTTCAACTGGTTTTCCTCGTATGCCACGGACATAGTTAATTTGGTATTTATTTGCCACATTTTTCCCAACTCTCCAATTCTATTGTATGATTAATTTTTTTTGCCCATTTGATCATTGTATCTTTAACTATTTCTTCTTCCATCTTATATCGCAGTAAAAATTTGTATATCCTACTAATTAATTTCTCCTCTGTCCCTTGTATAATTTTATCCAATTCATTTTGTTCGTTCTGTACTTCATATAATTTTGTGTCTTCTTTATATTTCAACTGAATTTGCATGTATGTCCACCAATCAATTTCTCTATTAAGATCATGTTCCAATTCCTGTTTTGATTTCAAATTTCCTTGTTCTTTTAGTATATATCTATATCTTATTATCTTATCCCATTCAGTTAAATTTGAATGTTTTATTGCTTCTATAGGTGAGATCCAAATTGGTATTTTAGTGTAGTGCTGTTTTTTTTATTTTTAACCAAATTAATAGCAATGCATTCCTTAGTATATGTCTTCTAAAATAACTATGTTTTATATTTTTCGTCCCAAAGGAATGCATGCCATCCTGCTTGTAGATCATGTCCCTCAATTGCTAGTATTCTTTTTTCCCCTTAACTCAATCCACTCTTTCAGCCAAGTTATACAAGAGGCTTGATAATATATTTCCCATTCTGGGAGTGCTACTACTCCTTTATCTTTTGTATCTTGTAGAAATTTAAGTCTAATTCTTGGTCTTCTTCTAGGCCATATAAATTTGGTAACTATTTTATTTAAGATTTCAAAAAAGTTTTTCTCTAATTTTACTGGTATAACTTGGAATAGAAATAGTATTTTGGGCAAAATATTAACTTTAATCGTGGTGATCCTTCCCATAAGTGAGATCTGTAAATTTTTCCAATCTTCTAAATCTTTTTTGATTTGCTGTAGCAATTTATCATAATTGTCCTCCTTAATTGAGGAGCATCTTGCAGTAAACCAAATCCCTAAATATTTTTTTTTCTTGGTTATTTTGTATTTTTGTACTACATTCTAATTCTTTCTCTTGTTTCTTTGTAAGATTTTTGGTTCATAATTTAGATTTATTTTTGTTTATTTTGAGTCCTGCTACCTCACCAAATTCTTCTATTTTTTTAAATCAATTTTGGTCCTGATTCTAATGGTTCTTCCACAATAAACATCAGATCATCAGCAAAAGCCTGGACCTTATATTCTTCTTTCTTTATTTTTAACCCTTTTATTTCTTGATCCTATCTAACTTTCTTGAGAAGTGTTTCTCAAGTTAATATGAATAGAAGTGGAGAGAGTGGGCATCCTTGTCTCACCCCTTTTGTTATGTCAAATTGTTCTGTAATGAAAACCAACACAGATCCGCTGTTAGACCCCTTGCAATTTGCATACCGAGCAAATAGATCGACAGATGATGCTTTTAATATGGCTCTGCACTACATCCTACAACACCTTGAATCTCCAAAGACCTATGCAAGGGTCCTCTTTGTAGACTTTAGTTCAACATTCAATACCATCATTCCAGACACACTTCTAACTAAGCTACAGGTACCTGAACACACTTGTAAGTGGAACATAAACTTCCTAACAAACAGGAAGCAGCAGGTGAAGCTAAGCAGAATCGCATCAGATACCTGTACAATTAGCACAGGCCCCCCCAAGGCTGTGTGGTCTCCCCACTTCTCTTCTCTCTATATACCAATGACTGCATCTCTAATGATCCATCTGTCAAACTACTGAAGTTCGCAGATGACACAACAGTGATCGGTCTCATTTGAGACAATGATGAATCCACATACAGACGGGAGGTTGAACAACTAGCCTCGTGGTGTGACCAGAACAACCTGGAACTGAACACTCAAAACCGTAGAAATGGTGGTAGACTTTAGGAGAAATCCTTCCATACTTCCACCTCTCACAATACTAGACAACACAGTATCAACAGTAGAGACTCGGAGTGGTAAATGGTGACTGGTCCGGAGAGCAGCTGGATTTTGCTCTCTAATCCAGATGCCAAATCAGCCCCCTGCAAACTCTCGTCTCTCGAGGAGCGCTCCCTGAAGCGGGGCTGGAAACTTTGGTTGGACTGCTTGAGAGAGGAAAGCTTGGGACTGCAAAATCCAGCTGCTCCCCGGACCAGTCACCATTTACCGCTCCGAGTCCCAAGCATTAGGAGATGAGGGCTGCCGCTCTTACAGCGCTCTTACAGCGGAGAGAAAAAGCCGGATGCCGCTCTCCATTGCAGACACCAGATCGCCCCCCTGCAAGCTCTCCTCTCTCAAGCAGTCCAACCAAAGTTTCCAGCCCCGCTTCAGGGAGCGCTCCTCGAGAGACGAGAGTTTGCAGGGGGCTGATCTGGCATCCGGATTAGAGAGCAAAATCCAGCTGCTCTCCGGATCAGACGCTATTTACCGCTCTGAGTCCCAAGCAGCAGGAAACAAAGGCTGCCTTGCGCTGCAAATATAGCAAGGCAGAATCCTGATGCTGCACTTTCAGCAGAGAGATGAGGGCTGCCTTGGCCATCGGCTGGCGCAAATATACCAAGGCGAATGCTCATGCCGCACAAGTTCAAGTAGTGCTTCGCTCCCACACTTCTTTCGGCCCTCAGTCTCTCAGGGAGATGCTTGACTTCCTCTCAGCCCCAAGACACTGGCTGGCCCATGAGATGAGAGAGAGAGAGAATGAGAGAGAAAGAGAGAGAATCAGAATGAGACAGAGAGAGAAAGAGACAAAGAATGAAAGAGAGAATGAGAGAGAGAGAATCAGAGTGAGACAGAGAGAGAAAGAGAAAGACAGAATGAAAGAGAATGAGAGAAAGAGACAGAGAGAATCAGAGAGAGAGAGTGAGAGAGAGAATGAGAGACAGAGAAAGAGACAGAATCAAAGAGAATCAAAGAATCAGAGAGAGAATGAGAGAGAGAGAATCAGAGTGAGACAGAGAGAGAAAGAGAGAGAAAGACAGAATGAAAGAGAATGAGAGAAAGAGACAGAGACAGAGAGAATCAGAGAGAGAGAGAAAGAGAGAATGAGAGACAGAGAAAGAGACAGAGAATCAAAGAGAATCAAAGAATCAGAGAGAGAATGAGAGAGAGAGAGAGAAAATGAGAAAGAGGGGGGAGAAAGAGAATGAGGGGGGAGAGAGAGAAAGAGTGGGGGAAAGAAAGAATGAGAGAGGGGGAGAGAGAAAGAGAGAATGAGAAAGAGTGGGAGAGAAAGAAAGAGAGGGAGAGAGAGAGAGCGAAAATGAGAGAGAGAGAAAGAGAGAATGAGAGAGAAAGAGTGGGAGACAGAGAGAGAGAGACAGACAGGAGGGAGAGTGCCTGAAGGACCCCATCCCGTACTGGGAGTCCAGGTGCTTCAGCAAGCGGTGCACTGGATTCGTATTAGTGGTCCGCAAAATTTAAAATTATGAAGTTGGTGGTCCCTGAGGTCCAAAAGGTTGGGGACCCCTGGCCTAAGACCATCGGAAAACACATATTTTTGATGGTTTTAGGAATAACTTTATTGTTGGGGATCACCACAACATGAGGAACTGTATTAAAGGGTCGCGGCATTAGGAAGGTTGAGAACCACTGCCTTAGCTGCTTGCCTTGCTTCGCTTGCCTGAATCCATTCCATCAGCAAGCAACT